CTATCCCATCCCTAAGCTCTCTTGTTTCTAATAGACTTGGAAAAAAGCCCCTCTTGCAGTCCTTGGTCCTGCCAGCCACAGACTCGTCCCAGATGTTGTTTTCCTCATCGGTTTTCTCACTGATGTTGATGGTGTGGCTCCCTTCGGTCCCGTTAGCCCTTTATTTCCAATTCCAGCCTTCGCTGGACCACGATGGGCTTGTGGTCAAAGCTGTCCTCTTGTTTGGTGATGGGATCCTGATATTTTGGGCCTCTAGTGAAACTTTTGCTAAAGAGCTCCTAAGTTTCATGAACGTGTTTCTGGCTAAGCTCCTCAGCCTTGCTCTGTTTAAACACCTGCTTCTCGCCGTCCTCAATATTCTGGATGGACGACCCATGGCAGATTAAAACTTGAATCTCTTTTCTCGTGAACTGAATGTCCAGATACTCCTAGTTCAGTCCTGATTAGACTCCGGCGAGGCTTTCCACATTCCTGTTTAGTATCTACTGTAACAGGTCCCTGACCTCACCTAAGTCGCTCGGGCTTTCGGCAGGTCTCCAGCAACTGTTGTACCACACACCTCAGGTGCTCCCCTCCCTGCACCACCCCGATTTTTTTCCTTATTACAGCTGAAAACCTTCCCCTTCCAAGCAGCACATGTTGCTCGCCCCTCCCTCCAGATCACGAGTGCTGCTAAAGAGCAAACAAAACTAAACGAGTCCCTCTCAGCTGCAGGGAGAGCCCACTGACCCTAGCAGTGAACCTCTGATCAGCTTCCACCTGCTCCTTTTCCAGACCAACGCCATTTGACTTTGCAAGGCCGGCGAGATCACTCGGCAAGAGCCCCACGGCCAGGCTCGCGGCAGGTGCAAGGCAGCCTAGTCCCACCGCCTGCCTCGGAGCCAGCGATGTCTCAAGAACAAACTGAATTGGGTCATGTCCAGGCAGTTTCCGACTCCTACGCATGCTCCCCATCAGGGTGCGAATATCTCGGCCCACTTTACTTAAGGACACATGCACTTGTACAGCAGCTCTGTTTTGTGGTGGGACGTTTCCTCCGAGCCAGGGCTCAATGCCCTCAGCTCTGCTTCCAAGCACAGCATCCTGCTCGTGCCACCCTGGCTTGCTGCCGGGGCTGACAGGACCTCAGGTAAAGACACTGAGCAACGGTGACAGACAGAGTGCCCGTTCCTGCAAGCTTCTCCCAAACCAAAGAAACGAACGGAGGGAAGAACGGCTGTTGTCCCAGGCGGCAGCCCAGGGGAACGGCCACATCTCTGCATGCCCGGCACTGAAGTCTCCCAGGTCTGGAACCAAAGACCCAAATCACCAACTCCCCAAACAACCCCATCCAGGAGTCCTGACCCAGAGCCACATTCAGCTTCTGAAGCTGCCATTTCTTCCAATGAATTACATGCCGCTTTTAAACTGAATGCAAGCCTGGGCTCTGTATTGACCACAGCAAAGGTGCTGGAATCTGGCTCGCTTCGGAGGGTCCCTACCAATATTTTCCCCTCTTGAAATGCACTCAAATAGATCCCGCGTTCCAGAGCAAGTCAGGGAAAAATCAGGATTGAGAAAGGTCACTACTGAACATGAGGAGACACTTCTCTGCATCCCAGGTCTCTCCCCCTTCCTGAATACATCCTCCATCCCCCCACACGCTCAGCTGGTGCCAGTAGCAAGAGATCAGCTCCTTGAAGGAAGCCATGGCTCTGCCCTGGGCAGGGCGGTCGGGGGGAGCACCCGGCAGAGGGGCAGGATGCTGGTGCGGGTTGGGACAGGAGCGCACAAACGACACTGCTGACGGGCAGCATTGCTCAGACAGGCCAAGCACAAGCCTCTCGGAACGGATCCGGGTGCAGCTCTTCTGTGCCGCAGGTTGGACTCTCCGCTCCTTCCACGCTGCCGGCTCTGTCAGTTGAGAAAGGCCCGTCCCCACCACAGCAGACCTCCTCCTCCACCCAGCGCCGGCTCTCGGACCGTTCCCCTCTGCAGGCTGCCAGGCCCAGCCCTGAAGCATTCTGCAGAAAAAACGGTGAACCCGACAGCCCTCAACCCCCTGCCCAGTCCTGCCAGGCTGGTCACCGTGCTGCGCTGTGGCAGGGCAGCAAGGGCCACTTCACCTCTTCACAAGTGTGTTAGTCTCCCTTTTGGATTCCTACTATATGCTGGGAGCTCCTGCTAACATGCTCCAGCTGCAGAGTAATATCAGGCTCTGCTGTGTAACCCCAGACTCTTGTCCGGTGGCAGGGACAAGAGCGTGATACAAGCAACGCAAAGGGAACATGAGGGGATTAGTTCTGACTGTACCTTTCCAGTTTTCAGAGTCCATTCAACCCCACTCTCAGGCATATCGTCAGCATCATCCACACAGTACCCTTAAACTAATTAAAGCCGAGTGCGTGAGCTAAGCCAAAGCTGGACCACGGACTCTGCAGAAAAGGCCCTGCGGGGACAGGGGACAAGGAGCTGAGCAGGAGCCAGCAGTGTGCCCTTGGTGCCAAGAAGGTGACCGGCGTCCTGGGCTGCATGGGTAGGAGCAGTGCCAGCAGATCGAGGGCAGCGATTCTATTCTGCACTGGGGAGGCCACATCTGGAGTCCTGTGTCCAGTTGTGGCCCCCACTACAGAAAGGATGTGGACACACTGGAAAGTCCAGCGGAGGGCAATGAACATGGTTTGGGGGCTGGGGGCATGACTGGTGAGGAGAGGCTGAGGGACCTGGGCTGATTTAGTCTGCAGAAGAGAAGACCGAGGGGGATTGAATAGCAGCCTTCAGCTCCCTGCCGGGGCTGCAAAGAGGCTGGAGCTGGGCTGGTCTCAGTGGAGGCAGACAACAGGACAAGGAGCAATGGGCTCAGGCTGCAGCAAGGGAAGTTGAGGTTGGATCTTAGGAAAAAATTTCTCACCAGGAGGGTGGTAAAGCACTGGAACAGGTTACCAAGAGAGGTGGTGGACTCTCCATCCTTGGAGGTTTTTAAGTCCTAGCTCAACAAAACCTTGGCTGGGATGATGTAGCTGGGGCTAGTGCTGCTTGAAGCAGAGGGCTGGACTAGACGTGACCTCCTGAGCTCCCTCCCAACCCGCACTGTCTACAATTCTAGGACCGTGAGCCCATCTACAGGGCAGCTGCATGTTACTCTGTTCCCAGACTGTTTTCTCAGTGCACATGCTGAATTGCTAGCATCCCCTCATACTCTCCAGACACACAAGGCAGCAAACCAGCAGAGAGGTCTCTACATCTGCTGTAGATCAGAAAGCAAGCTAATATTTCTCAAGCTATCAGAGAGCTATTGTGCAGGGCTTCTCTGCGTGAGGGGTACGAAGGGAGCCAAAGAGATTCCCCTGCACAACCATGTCCTCAGCCCTTTCCCCACCGCAAGGGAAGACTCTGTGCCCTGACGCCAAACAAGCAGCTGAAGTATTTGCAGGTTTCCAGGAAGATAAACACATTCTTGAGTCATCATTCGAGTGTCTAAAAATGGCAGACAATTGTTTCCTCCCACGATGGTGACACGTGGTAACGCTACGTGCAACTGCATTATGGCAGAGAAAGATGAATTAGCCACTGTAGTGGGAGCCAAGGGTGCCTGTGGGCCAGCAATCACGGGTGGACACTTTCCATCTGGTCCAAACTAAAGATGAACCCCAGGCAGTAGTATACCCACATGCAGGCTTGGCTTGACTAGAAGGACTAGCTGCCAAAGCAGAGGAAAATCATGGGCAAAATTCACTGGGGAAAATAAATGCAGCCAGGGAAATGGTGGCTTCACCAGGGCTTGATGTGTCAACTCAGGCCCAGGTGCCTTCTCTAAGGATACGTATTCATGCCTGGGCTCAGTTTAGGGCCACTGGATGGGATGTAATGGCCTGTGATGTACTGCAGTTTGGATCAGATGAACTACGGTCCCTCTGGCCTTAAGCTGTAGGAATGTATGAAACACGCTACTTGGCACCGAGCGTGTGGGACTGCTCTGCAATTAGCTTCTCTCTCTGTTTATAGCACAAGATTTGTAAGTTTTTAACACTGATTTTGGGTACGAGCCCAGAATGCACCAGGATGGAAAAAACCATTATCCATTCAGCTGCACTGGAAAGGCCCTTTCACTGGAACTCGGGTCCAGGGTATGTAAAAAAGAGTTCAGTTAAATGCAGGTGCACGGGCAGAGACGGGCCGAACCTTGCACAGCTGCAGATGTGGCAGCTTCACACTAGTGTAACGTGGGGCAGGGGAGTGGACACGGGCCCAGGGCGTCAGAAGTGGGGAGCGGGGGCAGCTCACTCCCCCATTCTCTGCTCAGCTTGCATGTCCCGGCTGCACACTGCAGCCGTGCAGGCAATGTGCGTCACGGGGTGCAAAGTGTTCTGGGAACCGTAGTTCTCTGGAACAGTGTTTCTCAACCCAAAAATGGGTCGCGAGAATATGTGAAAGGCTTGCGAATAAACTTTAAAAATGGATTCTCCTTTAAAGGAGAAAAATGTGGGAAACCGTGGATCTTCCCTTGTAGGCTGGTACAGCTCCAGCCTGCAAGGGGCTGCGTGGGCCCCCCCACCCCCCATACACACACGGTGGGTGGGGCTGGGGTGTGGGGGCAGTGGGTCGGGACTGCCCATCCATGTTTACAAATGGGTCCTGGTACAAAGAAGTTTGAGACCCGCAGCCCTAGAGTAGCAGTGGAGTGCACTCCTGGTAGGGGGGAAATGCCCCCGTTTTTGCTACTGAAACCAGCAATTTTTCGTCCTCCTGACATGGGTTTCAGCATGAAAAATGGGGGTGAACGTTCCCCTCCAGCAGCAGTGATGTCCACGGTTGCTCTAGAGAACAACTCCCTGAACACCGGACACCCCATGACCCACGCTGCCAGTGCTGCAGCTTGCTGCTGCTTCTGCAGGCAGCCTTGTGGGAGACGGGGAGAGGGGATGGCCCCGGGCACATGTCTCACATTTCACCCTGCGGCTCGGCCGCGGCACCGACCCCCTACCACTGCCCCGCTCCCCTCACTCCAGCGATGTTCTTACCACTTTCTCCTTGTAAACGATGTATTTCAGCCACTTGAAATCTTGCCACTTGAAACCGGCCAGAACAAAGAGGGAATCCTTCTCGTACTGCTCCATTTTCTGGATGGCTCCTTCAGGGTAGGTAATCCGCAGAGTGGTTTTGCCACCCACATCTTTTTCAAAGCCCTTCACTGGGGCAGAGTTCAGCCTGCAAGGAAAACAGAGAAGATGCTGCCATAGTTTCTCATTTCTTTCCCAGAGGACAAGGGACACAGCAGCCCAGCCGCAAACGGGATTGTCTGCGAGGTGCACTACACAAGTTCAGACCAAGGAGCAACAATTTAAATTGCTAGATTTCAAAAACAAAAAGCAAATCTACTCCATCTGCACTCCCATCTTGGGACCCTGGAAACCTACTGTGAAAATCTGTGCTTTCCCAATTTAAAATTAAAATGTGTCATGAACCAAACTGCAGTATTTTGTGGGCCTTTGCCGCTGGGGTCTCACAGCCGGATTTGACAGAAGTGATAGAGGAAAAGCAAAATAGTGAAGCTAAAGGTCCTGCGTCTATCAACAGGTGTCGGACTTTATTTAGGGTTACCATACATCCAGGGTTTCCTGGACATGTCCTCTTTGGGTCCTCCAATCTCTGTTTGGGCGGTTGTTAAAAATATGAACAAATGTCCAGGATTTTGCTCTGCTCAGCATCCAAGTTTTTCTGGCACTTCCCAGCTGGCCCTAGCGCGGAGCTGCTTGGGGCTGGGGGGAGCTGGGAGAGGGTGACTGGAGGGAGGGGGCGCCGTGTGCGTGCACCTGTGTGTGTGTATACACTCGTGGCCGGCATGCAGCCAGGCAGGGTGGTAGGAGCAGTCCCAGTAGCTGGGTGCAGGTAAGTCTATGGGGAGCAGGGGTTGGAGGGCCAGGGCTTGGGGACTGTGCAGGGGCTGTGTGTGGCATGTGAGTCTGTGTGTGTGGCAGGGGTGTATGGAGAGGATGGGAGTGTGTGGGGGGGGGGGGAGGGTGTGTGCCTGCTGGCACTGGGGCTACAGTGGGGCAAGGGGAGCAGTGAGGGGAGGCACCTGCCCCTGCAGCGGGGGAAGGGGGCAGCAGGGAGCTGCATGCACCAGGGCTGGTGCCTGTGCTTGCAGGGGGGGATGACACTGCAGGGTTGCGGGGAGCAGGGCCTGTGGGCTGGAAGTGGGGGGCACCGGCAGGGCTGGGGGTACTGTGGCTTGGGAGTGAGGGGCACTGGGGGCAGGGGACTGTGGGGCTGCCCAGGGGGGCAGGGTACTGTGGGTGGGGAATGAGGGGCACCGGCAAGGCCAGGGATCTGCAGGTCAGGAGTGAGGGGCAGCAGCAGGGCTGGGGGTGGGTGGGCTGTGGCCTGAGAGTGAGGGTCAGTGGCATGGGCAGGGCACCAGCATATCACTGCCCCCCCACAATCATATTAACTGCCCCCCACTCCCCCCAAATCTGACAGGTATCCTGTTTTTTGAAACTAGAAAGCCGGTAACCCAACCTTGTCCCTAAGAGCTCCGGTGAGCAGGGCCCTGGACGAGGCGACCTCCTAGTCTATGATTCTAACTTGGGGGAACTAGTCACATGCTTCAACCATCTCCAGGATCGTCACCAACCCTCCTGAGTGACAAAATCTTTGTCACTTCAAAAAGCACAACCACCGTGGCGTCAGCAGAGAGGAGGTCTTCACACCCTCTGTGCACGGGAAGGTCTTTATTCCCAGAGACCAACACGTTCAAGACTAGGAGCCCAGAGCTGTGTCACTTCGGGGCACGAGTCCCACTGACTTCAAGCTCTGATGGAGGACAAGAGTCGGGTTGAATTCTTGCACCTTTCTTGCCTTGCCTGGTTCGACGCACTGGAAAACCCTGTTGGTTATAAATACAGCGCGGGCCGTTTGCTTCCCAAGTTCGTGTTGTTCTCGCAGTGCGGACGTTCGCGATGCTCGGGGCTGGTCTTTTTCGGCACAAATGAGCATTTTAAGTGTGAAGCATCATAGCAGAAAAAAATCTCTGTCAAATCCAAAACTCTTCCTAGGTGAACAGGAACAAACAACCCGCCTTGCCAGTTTAACAGCCTAAACTGTGAAGAATGTTAAGAACTAGCAACAAGCCAATAAAAATTATGACCTAAGTGATTTTTTTTGAACCAGTAACCGGGTTTATTATTTTTACCCCTCCCTGATTTATACGTTAGCACTGAAGCATCCAAACCTGGCTGAAATCAAGCCCAGGAACTGAGAGCGGGCTGACTATCAGCCTGTTTCTGAGGCTACCTGTATGGTCCCATACAGCATATATGACAACTGGCGTGGGATTTCTCTACTGAGCGTACTGCAAACTTCAAACATTTTCTGTGGCTGTCTCTGAGCTAACCTGACCTTTCTCAGCAGCAGCTTCTCACTAAGTAAGCGGCCAGACGCTGCTCTCACTACAAACACAGGCAATCGTGCCTGCTTTCATCTGTCTGCTTGGGCGTCGGAAGAAGGCAGGTGCACATTTCCATGTGTAATTATTTGACCAGAGTCTTGTTCTCTGCTGCTGGATTTGCTCCTCTGTTGCAGGGTCTGCTAATCCCCCTGCTAATCCCCGCCACTCAGGAACAATGCTTTTTATCCGGAGAGACAGGAGAGAAAATAAACCATTTCCCCGGTAAGATGAGCTCCTCAGCCCAGAGTGCGGGGCCCGAGCGCGAGCTGCTGATGGAGCCCGGCAATGGAGTCGTGTTAATGAACCAGCAACTCAGCTCCGAGGTCTGCGCCCCAGGTGTCTCGTGGCAACTGAGCAGGAAAACTTCTGGCAGCCGGAGCCCAGGTTCGCGAAGCAGCTTTCCTCAGGGCTCGACTCTGCCTCCGTCAGGACACGCTGTCACCGAGGTGTCTTCGTTAGGGCGACGTCACAGCTCCGTCCCGCCAGCCTCTCCGGCAGTGGATTGCTTCCCCCCCATGTGTTGTCTTTTGTTCTCCTCATCTCTTTAAAGTACCAGCACTGTGGGGCCCCACAGCGCTCCGAGTGATGGCACTCCGGACCGGTCTCCGAGTGCCATCAAAGAGTCGGTATTACCCAGAGGAGCACTCCTGATCCCGCTCGTGGCTTTAAGGAGGCTTTTTTTTTTTTTTTAACTGAAGAACACATGGGAATTGACTGCAACGCAGCAGCCCTCGCCAGCAGAAGCCCCGAGGCTTGGGAAGTGGAGAGTCTGAGTTCAGATCTGCCGCTGCTCACAGTTTAATAGAGCAGCCAGGTGTCACGGGCTCCGGTTCTGCCTCCAGGGAAAAGGTCTTTATTTGCCAAGACCGTATTTGCTGCCCAAGCTAACGGCCTTTTCATGTGCACACGCGGGCCATGTTTTCTCCACTCACTGCACTGGGGGGAGTTTCCACATTTCTGTCGCTCAAAAATGGCCCTGAGCCCCCAGATCCAGCCCCTGCGCAGCTCTGTAAGGCAGCGCCACAGCTCAGGACACAACGAGCTAGACGGACGCAGAAAGAAAAGCCTGCCTCACCCCAGTTTCCATGAGACTCAAGTAACCAGGTGGGCAAGTTTGGGAAGGTGCCTGCTCTCAGCCCCTCTCTCACATCCAGGCACCTGGCTTCGTTTAACCTTTTCAGTCCCTCTCCCACCCCCAGCCAGTACAGGTGCTCAGATGCCCCCTCACCATCCCAGTCTGCAAACTGGCTGCAGATCTGTGGAGCTGAGGAGAAGGGTCCAGCTTTTCATTCTGAAAGGAGTGGGGACATTTTCATTTGGGCCTCAGTGGGTGGCCTAGTGCGAAGAGCTTTGCAGGCACAGTCGGAGTCTCAGGAAGAGCACTAATTAAATGAGTCTGGTGCATCCCAGCTCAGGCTAACGGACTGGAAGTCACAAGAGCTCACGAAGCAGTCAGCACCCCCTGCCAGCCGGGGGAACGAGAGCACGCCGGGGCAGGGAGCTGTCAAAGCTCCTTCCCACTCAGCAGACCCTTCCTCACACCCAGGACCAAGCGCGTAGATATGAACAGCTCCTAGGATCATAGTTATACCTTCTAGACTAACTGCATTAGAGATGCCAAGATACAGCTCACTTCATTACACCTTCGCTTCATCATGAGATCTGCTGAAGCGAGCGGTTGCTCACAAAGCCTATGCATCTCTGATTCAGTTAGTCTAGAAGGTGTAACTGTACCCTGCCTTCTGCTTGACTTCCGATGGACACGGCTAATTCCCTCGTAGTACTACTGAAAGACCCTCACACCCTTCAGGCACAGACCTCCTCCGAACTTCCAGCCAAATTCCTTCATGCCACCCTTCAGACCCACGCGCTCTTGTGCCAGCCGGCCTGCTTGCCGACACGGCTCCTCTCCTTCCCTGACGCTTACCCAGGCGTAGCAGCAGAGAGCAGACCCCTTCCCTCTCAGCCTTTGCTCTGCTGAGCTAAAAAAGCCCAGCTCTTTATCCTCTCTTCTCTAAGGTCAACTCTCTGTTTCCCTGATCATCCCCGAAATCACAGTCTCAGAGCCGGCTGGCTGGCAGGGAGCTGCGGAGGTCACATCCAGTCCAAAACCACCCTTAGGCAGGATCAGCTCTGACCAAACCAGCCCGGACAAATCCACTGTCCGACCTCTCAGCAAAACCACACGGTCCCTCTCTGCCCTTGTGCCAGGCAGAATTTGTTGTCGTGGAACGGGAGGAGCAGAGCTGCGAGCAGCTCCCCAGGTGAGGTCCCACCTGGGCCTGGCATTACTGCTTCCACGATGCTACTGGAAATGGCTCACCCCATGCATCCTAAGCTTGCACCTGCCTTTTTGGTGACTGCATCAGATTTGGCTCGTGGTCATCCCAAGATCAACTAATACACCCCAGCCTTCCTCCTCTTCTCTCATGGCCACTGATGAGCTCCCAGCTTACAAGAGAAATGTTTATTAATCTCTAATTAACCCCGTTTCCTAGCTCGTCGTTAACCTTATAGTTCTCATACTAATCCCCATCCTCTCCAGCCAGCTAATAAATTTCCACGTGGCTCTGTGTCAAAGGGCTTTACTGAAGTCCAGCTAGACAAGATCTGCTGCGTTCCCCTTGTCTGGAAAATCAATCATCTTATCAAGAACAGACAGCAGTGTGGCCTGGTATGATCGGCCTTTGATAAACCCATGGTGCGTTTCAGCTCATTTTTGTTCACTTCTATGTCTTCAAGTACTCTTTCCTTCCAAATGTGCTCTGAAGCCTGGCGTTCAGCTGAGGTCAGGCTAGCACCCCGTGGCTGCTCACACAGGTCCATTCCCCTGCTTTTCTCAACCCCTTTGTGAGTAGAGGCGCTCTCTCTGCCACTCTCCAGTCGCACTGTTCTCCCCAACCCAGCCCACAGACTGATTAATAACCCTTGTTCCTGCACCTATCATTTCATGTGGTTTTCCCCCCTAGCATTTAGGGATAGAGACTGCCTCAGCACCACAACCTGAGAGCATTTTGCTTTTTGAGTTCTGCTCCCACGATAGTGGTGAGAGTTTCCATTTCTGGGCCCTCCTTGCCATTCGCCGTCACCCTCAGACCTGTTATCACTGCTCTTATGGAAAACAGGCAACTATTCATTTGGTTTTGGGGCCACACCTAGACTACCCGTCATTTCTACCCCTCACTGCAGGGCAGCCCCACTTCTTCCTCAGACCTTCTCACCATGGTCAGCACGCTCTTCTGCTCCTGCCCACCTCTGAAGCACCAGGCAAGGCCTGGGGAGTGCTGTGCCCGTGTTTATCTACAGTGCCTGCCAGAGCTGCGCGGAAGCACCTCCGACAAAAGCAAATATTAGATATCAGGCATCACAGAAGAGAAGGATTTGGGGAGAACAGCAAAGTGGGTCACTGAAGGGAAGGCATCTGGAAAAGACCTGGAGGCTTCGATATGGGTTAGAGACGGGCATGAACTGCCTTGCCCTTTGAGGTGACTGCAAGCAGACACAACACGGGCACGTTCATAGGCCAGGTTAATTCTCCCCCTGACCGCGTGCTTCCCCGCCCATGCAGTTCATTGCTGGTTACGGTGCGAGCCGTGGGGAGCTGCAACCCTTGTGTATGTGGAGCATCGTCCGCTGCTGAAAAGGGAGGACGGGAACAGGGGGCCCCAAGGACTCACCTGACGACAATATCGTATTCATCGATTTTCAACCCCAGCGACTTGTTTGCAAGCACTCCACCATTTCCCACGATGATACAGCGCCGGCAGCTGAGACTGTGGAGGGAACAGGGAACAGCTGGTGGTTAGGTCGTTCACTTACACAGAGCTCCTTATAGCCCAGCTTCCGTGCAGCCTGCGGCTATCCACGCGTGCCGGGAAACCTCTGGGAGCACCAGGAGTTTTACGGAAAGGAAGCAGAGCAGGGGGGCAGAGGGGAGGACAGGATTATGCTCCATCCTTAGCTCAGTTTATCATGGCCACCTGGCACACAGGGCAAAGTGCCCAATCCTGCATACCGCCCGCAGCATGACTAGGAGAGGCAAGCTCCTCTTGCTGTTTCCTGGATCTGGCTGGCTTCAATTAAACCCATAGGTTACCTAAGCCATTACCCAACCTTCATTTCATAATCTAGTAAATGATACTGGGGAAAGTCCCATCTCTCCACTAAACAAAGTGTGAGTGATCCAGTCAGTATGTCAGAGATTAGCACCTGCAACACAGATGGCATCTGATCACGCAAAGGACAGGAAGACTGAATGGCAGGCCGGCCTCCTCCAACGTGATGACGGGTCCCAAACCCAGTAGACACACCACCGGGCTGAGACCCAGAGACCTGGGTGCAATACCTGGCACTGGCACTGCTTGGCTTAGCGACCTTGGGCAAGATAGTTCCCCCGCCCCCAACCCTCGGCTCACTTTCCCCACGTGTACGAATGGGGATGCTGACCCCAACCCCTGGTCTAACAGACTAAGCAGCAGCACAGAACAGCTTGGTGCTGCTACCGTGTTATCCTGCAGCCACGAACATGCTCAGACAAAGTCACCCCGACGCACGTGGAAGGAGACACCGGACGGTATGTGAAACAGCCACTCACAGACTGAAATTTTAAAAGACCAGTGTTGACTTTCCCAAACAGGCCTGATCCTGCTTTGAACAGGGAGCTAGATTAGATGCGACCCCCTGAGGTCCCTTCCAGCCCAACTCTTCTATGATTCAACGGCCATGGGCATTTCAGGAGACGTAAAAGGCCAGCTGCAGCTTGTCCTGAGTGATACAAGAAGCCTTCCTGCTTCGGGCTCTTACCCCGGGCTCTGCAGGGCTCTGCAGGACTTTGCTCTGGACACCCCCGAAAGGGTTGAACCCAGTGGAGCTGCGAGTACGAGGCATGCACAGCGCCCATCCAGGCTGGCGCGTGCCTGCTCCGTTGTGCTCCGCCTAGATGCCCCGAGAAATACTGGAGGAACCGGAGAAAACGCTCCTCTGAGTGCTCTTGTCCGGGCCTCGCCTACCTGGGCCCCAAAACAAGAAGAGCTTCAGGAACTACAGGCCTGGTTCTTCTCTCCCTGTCACAAGAGACCAGTCCAAAGAGAAGAAAGTCCCAGTGTCACAAGCACAGAGCGGGGGGAAGAGGCGTGACATCAGCAGACTCTCTCTTTTTGCTAGCAAGCAAGAAATTAATCCTTGGGTGACATCGAGATGCTGCTTCACTGCAACCGTTTGTCATAAAATTGCAGAGGTGGCTCGCTCCTGCCAGGCTCTGGTGTCAGTCACTAAGATTGGGCCTGAAGTGAGCTTCAGAGGTTGAACGAAATGACTGAGGACTGACCTACTGCTACGCCTGCCAGCTGACGACAGGCACGCAGTAACACAGTGCCCAAGGACCGCTCGGCAGCTTCCAAGCACAGCTACAAATACATTAGGGGAACGCAGCATCCGAGACGACACAGCCGGGTCCGCTGGTGAGCAGAACTTCAGCTGCTCCGCTCTGGATGGCGGGACGGGGCAAACCTGCGTGTCACTAAGGCCAAAAGGGGGCTGGTGATTATAGCAGCCAAGTCAGGACATGCTTAGGGCATGAAAACAGCCCGTGGACAGTGGGCCAGACAGCGGAGGATGGGAGAGTCAGGGAGAACAGTGAAGCAGGATTTGATAGTGCAGCCTATACATGTGGCAAGGGGAGGAAGGAGTCCGTTAATCCCAAATTTATGAGCTAGAGCAGCAGAGAGGAAAGAAGTTTTGTCAAGTGTGTGGGACGGAGGTGGGGAAAGGAAGGCGTCAGGACTTCAGCTGCAGCCACATTAACATGAAGATGGTGACAAGCCCTACAGAGAGGTAGGCCTATAGCGAGGATGACCGGTCCGGAGAGGCGACGTGTACTTTTCATGGACTCCGTAGAGCCACGGGCTGTTCTGACCGTCCAGTGTGACCTCTCAAACAGCCCGTGGCATCCTCTCCTGGGGCTGCAGTTTCTGCATCGGGCTCCATTTAGGGCATAAGATGAACGTAAGCATTCGGTTTCCACCACGACAGTCTCATTTTCAGCACCGGTCCCAGGTTTGTCATTGGTTTGGTCAAATGCTGTCAGTTTGGTCCCATCCTCAGCAGGATGCCCCGTCCTCTGCACTCCTCACTCCCCCAACACCCACCCCAGGCTCTGGCACATGCAGCTGACCCCAGGGCTCAGAGACACTGAGCATGCCAGAGAGCAGGGCGCCCGTTCGAGGGCAGGGCGATAGGGTCACTCCAGGATGAGTGGACACTGCAGGTAAAAGCCGGGGTGGCAGTTCACCACACACCAGCTGCTCTGGGGTAACTGCCCACGTGCACACTCATACCCTGTGCAAATGAGAGCTGAATCCCACGAACTTGGTCCTTAGCGAACAGGAGTCCCCCATCCCTTTAACTGCTCACCAAGTCATTCATCTGATTGTACCGTTTGCAGGATGACATCCAGCCTCAAAGGCTTCGTGGCAATGACTAAACCCTCTCACTGCTAGAAACATGCACTCGTTTACAGACTGCATCTGTTTGGCTCACTACAGCGTCTTCTGCTGAATTAAAGCATCCTGAGCCACCAGGAATTGCTTCCACGTGGAGGGCAGGAGCAGACAGGACAGGTGAAGCTCTTCAGTGTGCAGCTGCACACCGGGGTGCTTCCAAACTGCTGCGACCGCATGCACCCGGGGGGTCTGACAGGGAGCTGTGGCCCCATCGCGGGGGGAAGAGGGGCCAGTGCAGCTGACTGTCCCCGAGCGATCTTCTGTCTGCTCGGCCCTTGCTCCCCCCAGAACGCCTCCACCCCAAGCAGATCCTTGTGCTTCCCCTCCTCCATTTGTGGGGAAGTGGGAGGGAAGGGACACAGCGTCGTGAGATACACAGCATCGTGGGGTCCCCTGTTGTGCTCTGTACAGAGTATATACGTAACGGGAAGAGCTTCCTTTTGAAGTCTTTTAAATAGCAGTGCAGGGGTCAGCAATATTTTTGGGCCAGTTGCCAAAAAATCCCGCAACCTCCACTTGGAAGATGTTGGTGTGCCAGGGAGATGGTGAGGCAGCCGTGAGGGGCCTGATCCCTGTGGCAGCTCAGTCCCAGCTCCTTCTCCACCATGCCCCCTGCGGCGTGCGACGAGCTGGGCTGGGACTCCAGACCCTGGTGCAGCCGCTTGTTGTGAGCAACCTGGGCTCTGGGCAGGACCCTGCTGCCCACCACAGAGCCCAGACTCTCCGCCACGGGGACCGGGCTGCTCACAGCAGGGCTTGCGGCCTCCGCTGCAAGCAGCCCAGGGTCCATGGCCGGCAGCAGGGGCCTGCCCAGAGCTGGGGCTGGCTGTGGCGTGCTGAGCAAAATGGCTTCACGTGCCACACTCCGGCACTCATGGCAGAGGTTGCCGACCCCTGTAGCAGTGGTTTCCTTCAGGATTGCTCTTGCACTGCTTCAAAGGGTGTCTGAAGCACTTCAGATGTTATCTCTGTCCCTCGGTGTCACAGATCGTGCTGGAGTGGTCACCTACCACTACCGCTAAGCCCTTCCTATTGTTATCACATTCTCCCACCTCGCCATTTCTCAGTCCTTGCATCTGGCTATTAAAACAACAGCTGTTTGCATGGCCTGCCTCTACCACCTGATCTGGATCAGTCCCAATCGCTGACTTACCTTTATCGATATTTACCATCCTACCAGTTTTTGTTCATCTGCAAATATCAGCACCAATGATATTTGGTATATATATATATATATATATATATTTCCCAAATCACTAATGGAGATTGAATTGTATTGGACTGGAAAGAGACCCCCCCACCCACCGCATGGACCCAGTAGCAGCACCACCGCAGAATGACAACTCCCCACTTGCAAGGACTGTTTTACATCTCTGAGTTAAGCATTTTCTAATGCAGTGATTCCCAGTGCTTCTTTGTATAGCGCTACATTACAAACCAAAAAAACCCGAAGCAGAACAGCATGTGGCACTAAATCAAACGCCCTACAGCAGTCTCACTATAAGAACACAGCTACTGGTATCAAGAAAACCTGCAACAGCACAAAACAAAATCTCAAGTGTACTTGACAAGATGCATTTTCCACAAAATCCACGCTAATTAACATTAGCTACACTGCCAACCATACTGATTGCGTCCTAGATCGACCTTTCCATGATTTTGCCTGGGATCGATGTCAAGCTCATCAGCCTAATTACACTGCTCATCTCATTTACCCTTTAAATAATGGCAGAGCATCAGCTTTTTTTTCCCCAGATCTCTGGAACTTCCCCAAAACTCCAAGGACTGTTAAAAACCAGTATTAGCGGTTAAGTGTTCCACTTCTTGTGATAGTTGTGAGTGCCAATTGACTTACAAATATCGTACAGCTGCATTTAACAACCTCCTCAGTTACTGATAGAATAGAAAAATAATTAATTTTCACTGTAAATGGGAAAACACCATATTCAGGGGACAAACTGACACTGGAGGAAGCCGCCATGGGTGTTGATCCTCTCTGGAGAGGGAGCAGAGGAACGAGATGAGCTGCAAAGCCTGGGTTGGGGATTAGCAGACAAGTGGTGGGATGGAGTCTGAACCAGGAGAGGGTGAGCTGAGGTCAGCTACCAGATCTATTGGGACGGCCGACTGCTGCCTTGTGCCTTCCGGAGCGCCCGTCTCAGAACCAGCAAGCAGAGCTGTGGTGCAGGGCAGTCCCACTGCACACCTTGAGCTCTGACCCCTCCAAACTGGGAAATGGGTGCGGGGAAGGGCTTGGTGGGAGGGGCCCATAATAAGCAGCCACAAGGAACAGCTAAGACAGCGTGCCATCGCTTGGGCCGTGTTCCACGTTGCATTTGAACTGCAGCGTCCACCCCCGTGCTGCAGCTGGTCTCCGCCGTGCTGGGTGCAGCTGTACTGACCACGGAGGGATCAGTGGAGCCGAGGGCGGGTGTGTGAGGATGCTGAAGGATCGAGCGTGCTTTGTTCCAGCACCGGGTCCTGCGGGCGGTCAGGAGGGGCAGGCATGCCTGCCATCTCAGCCTCCATGGGGACCGTTAGCAGTCTGCTGCCACGCGGGTGCCCAGGCCTCGCTGCGGGTCAGCGACAGCAGCGCCCGAGAAGGAATCCCCAGGGCACAGCGGCAGGGCTGGCGACAGTGCGGCCAGGTGCAGTTTGTGTGGAAAGGCAGCTCCTGTCTGCTGGGCCTGACCCAGATCCAGATGTCCCCTCAGCAAACAGGGCGTTAGCCTGTGCCGCAGCGCGCATCGGTTGCGTGGCTCGGGTGAGGGCCGAGCGCTGGCGAGGGTGCCAGGGCAAAGCCCAGAGAGGCCAGGAAAGCCTGCTGCGCGGGGATGGCCTTATTTTTACCTGTCATTTCCCGGTTCCCAGAGGCTGAGGCATCCCCGCTCTCCCCACTCCGCAATTTCGGGCAAACCTAGTCTGGGATTAGCGATTTGGAGCAATGGATTTTACCTCCCTCCCACTGCTTTATTTTAGCGTTCCCAGGCACGTGGCCCACTCCTCTCTTCCCTGCTCCTTGCGGATCCTCAGAGGCTGCATCTATGCCCTGGCCAAAGCAGCACCATCATGCTCCCCACAAATGGACGAGTTGCTGGGCACAAATGCAGGGCTGCCATGGAGCCAGAGCCTGGATGTGGAAGCGATGGGGCAGGGCTGACACCATGCACCCCCTCACAACGCTGACCCCCTCTTTTCCTTCCCACAGCCCCCTGCATTACTCTGATCTCCTTCCTGCAGGGAGCAGCAGCACCCAAGCAGAAGAGCGAGCCTGGAGCCCTGTCCCTACCACCAGCAGTAGCACGGAGAACGATCAATAGATTTCGCAGTGTTTAGGGGAGAAGAGACCATTAGATCATCAAGTCCAACCTGCCGTCTATCACATACTATTATATCTTCCCTGGCTACCCCTGTATCGTCGTCAGCTAAAGCATCTCTCAGAAACCCATCCAGGCTTGATATGGAAGCATAACAAAGACTCACCAGTTCTCCTGGGAGGTCCAGCAGCTCACCAGGATTGCTTCCCCCCTCACCAAAGGCACTTATACACCATAATAAAATCACCCACTCCCAATTCTGCCTGTTCAGCTATGAGACTGAGCTCCAGGCATTTTTCTTCAGGCCTCAAAAGCCCGTTTAGGCTCTCTCCCACGCCCTCTCCAGCGTTTCAGTAGGAGGGAAGCATCAGGCTCCGTCTCCTGATGGAGGGTGCGAGGGCAACCTGCAAGCCCCCTCTCCCAGTCCAGGAGCAGCTGTGGGGAGGAATCTGTAGGGACTGCCGGGGATTTTCTGCAGGGAGCTCTGTGCTGGGACAGGGGAGCAGAAAGGAGCTCATTCTGAGCGCACACCCTGCAGCATGGCAGCCCAAACCCCCAGGCCCCTCTGAGGGTCCCAGTCACATCCCAGCTGGAAGCGCGAGGCATTAGTGAGATTTGGTTGGACAAGCTGGCTCCTCCTCTCTGTCTGAACACCCTGGTCTGAGTCTGCTGGTGGAGGGACGGGAGGAGGGGCAACGGGTTACAGTGCTTGCTGAATCCCAGTCAGTCGCTTGTTTGACAAGCTGGCAGCGGTGCGCAGCGCCACACATTTTGCAGCGATAGAGCAGGATGAGTCTAAATGTAAATGTTGGCTCCTGAGGGTGCGACCTAACCAGTTTCCAGTGCTAGCAGGCTCGCTGGGACAACAACCCCATCCCATGCTCCCAGCCCACTGAGGCAGGCCCCTGAGGGCTCGTTCTGGAAATGTGAGGAGCTGTGGCTATTAGCTCCCTCTGCTCCCAAAAGATCTCGTCTTACCTGTCAAGGGCTGGAGTTAGGCGGTAATCTTTGGTTGCTGCCAGGATGGCTTTGATCAGATTATCTGGGGAGAAAGGAGAGGAGGTGTTAGGAAGGTCATCCTGCTTCAGACGAGCTCTCCCCTCTAACGAGGACGGCGTGTAAATCTGGGAGGCTAATACAGTGCAACTCACACGGAGGGGTGAGAGGATGTGCACTTTCGGAGCAAAGACAGCCCACTTCCAATGATCAGGAGTTACAAGGCCATGTAACTGCTGGTACCCCAGACCCTCCATGCAATGTTATATATGAATATTTCTATGAATAGCAGCTCGAATCCCGGCAGATTCTGTCCGAAAGCCAGAGGTGATGTGCCAGTTACAGGTTAATTGTTGCTGTTCATCTTGAGCCTTACTACAGGGGCTGGAAGATTTGACTTATGCCAATGCAGACTTGCCTCTGAATTCAGTCCACAAACGGTGGAAGAAGGTTTATTACAGAGAGACAGAGCTGGGAACTTTAAAGCAGATTAGCTGGTTCGACAGAAACGTGTCTAACGAGCACCCCTGGGGAAGTGGTGCCTCTGCTGGTCCTGGAACAAAGATATTTTGGGCCTGGTGTGTGTACACATCCCCTTTCTAAACAGGGTTTAGTGAGCAGCTGAATACAGTACCACTTTTCTGCCACTGATTCAATGATACAATCTTGGGATAACCTTACAGATGTATTTTCCGATATCCTGGGCCCAGTTGTTACTACCTCTTACCTGGGAAACTTGTAGCATCTATCCCACAGGACAACGGATACCTGTACAACTCCACTTTGTCCTGGGATAAAGTGGCTTACCCACCAGCTGGCAGAGCTGGTGGAGCTCTGCCAGCCTGCAAGGGAAAACTCAGTTTTCCACGTTTTTCTCCTTTAAAAGAGAATCAATTTTAAAAGATTTTTGAAATATTTTTAAAGTCTGTTTGTGACCCTTTCGTATATTCTTGTGACTTTTGGGTCAAGATCCACAGGTTGAGAAACGCCGTTTTACCAGACCAACTGCACACGCTGGGAGAGATGCTGGCCCATCTCTCAGCGAGGGGTGTAAGCTGTCCTAGCCGAGGGGATCCCTTTGGGAGCAGGCTGGGTGAAGAGAGCGGTTTCTCAGTTTTCCAAGGTGCCCCTGCACAGCCGGGACCAGAGGAAGGACGCTCTGTGCCCAAAAGCTTGTCTCTCATCTCTCCTGATGACAGCGGCAATTCACTGCTTGCAACGATAACGGAGGAACAAGCTGGAGTGGCCAGCTGGGCGCAGGTCACTGGGCTGGCTGGCTGGCTTGAGGTTAGAGTGATTCAAGCAGAAAATCCTCTCCTACAAATGCCATGCCGCAAACACGAGGACCTGCATTCGTGGGTAACAAACAGGTCCCTGGCTGGCGAGTGGCAGTGGCAGCGGTGGCCGCGGGGTACCGGCGCCGTCACAGGTCTGGGCTTCTCAGAACAAGGCATCAGTGGAAGCAGCGGATCCACCCAGGCCCTGCACTGCCAGGGCACGCTGGAAATTTACTGTGGGCATTGGGCAGCCTGGAGGAAGGAAGGAGCTGAAGCTAAGCTATTGCCTTGTTTTGTTTTTTCTCCTTTAAATAGCAAACGAGCTGATTTTCCCACTGGAACATCCCTTTTCACTGCCCTCTGCTTCCTCAGAAGGATTCCCGCTGCCCCGGTCTCAGCAGCTGCCCACAGACGACCTCTCCAGCACCGGCGCGGGTCCCAGGCACTCCTCCCTGCGGCAGCACTGGGTTACGGTGACCCCAGCCAGCACCGCGCCACAGGGCCCCACTTGGCATCGCTCATACTTTGAAATTGCATGGAAAGCTTCTGTAACAGTGGCTGCGATTCCCACGCAGCTTCCCAGAAAAGAAAGCAAAGGGCTGTCTCTCGAGGACTGCGGAGTTCGCTGCCAGCGTCTCGGACTGCAGATCCACCCAACTCCCCCATCCTTTTCTTGGATCAGTTTTACTCAGGAGTGCTGGGCACCTCCACACCATGCTGAAACATATTTCTGACTCTCGTGGTCCAATAATCCCCCATTTTCCTTCTCTCTCCCTAAAACTCAGCACCCTGCCTTTGGCAGAGGCTCGGGACCGGGCCAGCTCAGGCACTCAGGAGAAGTAAGTGGGCATCAGGAACCCAGCTCGGGAACCAAGATTAGATGCTGAAACTCCTGAAGGGATGATCCAAAGAAGGAAATAAAATAAAAGATGATGGTGGGATGCTACCGCCGGCAACCAAGGCTGGCCAGGAGGGATGCTCTGCTGGACACCCGGCACTGCTCTGCCCAGCACACAGCATCCCAGAGCTTCCCAAGCGACAGGGAAGGCAGCTTTATGGCCCAGGACGGAAACGCCAACCTGAGGGTCTTCCCGACGGGAGGGACCACTCTATGAAGGACAAACTACTTCCATGCTCGCACTGAGCTGCTCTAGTTAGCGTCCGAGCTGTGCTCTCCGCCTGTCCATGCTAGTGCTGCTCCACATGCCTGCTGCTCCAATGCATTTGGTGCCCATCCCCATCTTCCCGACTCAGCTCCCCAAATCCACATGACTGGCACAACACGGGCGGTGCCACTGCCCACCCTCTTATCCTGCCTACTGTCCTCTCCTTCGGCCCACCTGGATAAAAGGGGAGTTCATGCTCCAAAACCCACTCAGGCCCTGACCCTCCTGGCCTGCCAAAAACGGCCCAGCTGGTGCTGGCTGTTCTGGTATTCCTGAAAAGCATGTGGGCTCCTGCCGGGAAACTCGCTCAGCGCAACCAGCTTGCCTCGCACCCATCAAGCAGCCCCTGGAGAGACCGTTTTGATGCTCGCCCTGTGACCTGGGCTATTCGCATGCTGCATCTTCTCCTGTGTGTTCTCTGGGCTTGTTCTTCTTGCTTTGCAGTAGCGAGGCCTGAGAGGGAAGCCCTGGCCTGCCCTCAGATGCCAATTAGATTTAGATGGCATGAACAGAGCAACAGCCATTTGTGCGGCTGATCGTGGAGCTCACGAGCACGTTACCGATAAGAAGAGCTTGGGCTCTTCGAATGCCCGACTGCCAAGTGCACCGGTGTGATGCTGCGTGCCCCAGACACCACCTCGGAAAACAGCCACTGCTCTTGGTTTTGGTTTTTTTTTTGGTTCCTGTCACATGAAAACCCACTGGAGTGGCCTGGTTTGCTGGACAGCCTCTGACTCATTTTCCGAGGATGCTGGCGAAGCGCCTTTGCTCCTCGCTGCCCGGAGGCGCAGAGCTGCTGCGTGACACCCGGGAGCGAGGGGAGGAAACGCAGGGACCGTCCCTGAACCAGCTGCATTTGTTTATGAGTCCTGACCCCGCACTTCCCTCTGACACTGCTGGGTTGAGATGAGACCCCCCCCCACACACCTCACTGGCAGCCACTGCCCTCCCCAACACGGAGCCACGAGAGCTCTTCTGTTCGGAAAGGAGACAAACGATTCAGTGACTCGCTGGCTGGACCACGGCAGCTCTCTGGAGGTGCAGGCACAGGGCTCAGCAAGCTACCTGTATTTCCAAGGTACGCCCGAGGCTCTCTCATCCCAGCATGGAAGGTCTCCATTGCAACTGTAGAGCCCCACGCAGAACAGGATGCATCGAGTGTTGCGCCCCACTGGCAAGCGAAATGCCCAAGGGAAATCCTGTCTTCAGATACGCAGACTCAGATCAGACGTGCACCCTTCCCGCAGGCACCAGTTTCAGAGAAGCGCAGATCCTTGGTCTCTCAGAGCTGTCGGGACTCCGAGGCCTGCCGTGCGGATGAGGCGTGGAGTCTGTGAGCGTCTCCCTGGAGCGAAGGCAGACAGCGCTCTTCCCTGAGGACGGCTCAGTGTTTCCCCTTCTGTCACCCACCCCGGCGGTATGAGGAGCCGCCTGCCTGAGTCAGGAAAGCCCACACGAGGGTTTCGAGGGCAGGGTGTTTTGAGCAAGCACTGCCAGCCTGCAGCTGGTGCTCGGTGAGGCACTGCCGGCATGCTGCGTGTTTTACCAGCACGAGCATTCAAGCCCGGCACTCCTCCCTGCACAGCACCCGAAACGCTGGCTATCTCCAGCCAAAGCATCAGGTATCACACACCACAATCCTAAAAATGTGTGGCTTTTATACAGACCCTTCCGAGCGCAGAGCCTTAGGGCCAGAAGGGACCTCAAGGTCACCTGGTCCAAGCCCTGCAGAGATGCAGTAGTCATGGCCCCAGGCAGACCGCAACGAGCTGGACAGACACCCGTGAGTTCAGACTCACAACCGCTTGCCACAAGGCAGGTGAGTGACTTCCTCCACTCTCACAGGGGTCGATATTGAGACTGAAAGAACAGAGACTGACCAGGGGCCTTGGTGGCAGAGGCAGGAAGAGAAGCCAGAAGCCCTGTACCCTCGCTTCGAAAACCTCATCCTAATTCTTCCTCCTCTGTCTGTGTTCTGACCCAGCGCCAAATTAACAGCAACAGGAACAAACAGATCAAACCACTAACCTCCAGCCCCTGCTCCCTACCTAGCAGGGGAGGGGTACATCAGATTTCATAGACATCAGGGCTGGAAGGGACCTGGGAAGATCATCGAGTCCAGCCCCCTGCCCGAAGGGCAGGAAGTCAGCTGGGGTCATAGGATCCCAGCAAGATAAGCATCCAGTTTGCTCTTGAAGGTGTTCAATGAAGGCGCTTGAACCACCTCCGGTGGCAGGCTGTTCCAGACCTTGGGGGCTCGGACAGTAAAGATATTCTTCCTTATGTCCAGCCTGAAATGATCTTGTAGTAGTTTGTGACCATTCGACCTCGTCATCCCTCGGGGCGCTCTGGTGAACAGACGTTCCCCCAGATCCTGGTGGTCACCCCTGATAAACTTATAGGTGGCCATCAGATCACCCCTGAGCCTGCGCTTTTCCAGGCTAAAGAGCCCCAGGGCTCTCAGCCTGTCATCGTAGGGTCTGCTTCCCTGACCTCTGATCATGCGCGTGGCTCTTCTCTGGACTCTCTCAAGCTTCTCCACATCCTTTTTGAATTGTGGAGCCCAAAACTGGACACAGTACTCCAGCTGCGGCCTCACTAAG